TTAGGAAAATTCAACAAATTTTCATCAAAATTTCAACTTTTTATTCCCATATTTTAGAAAATTTTTGGGTATGCAGTTTTATAGCCCACACAATTTTAATCTAATGAGGTGCAAGGTTCAAACGGCTAAGAAATCGCGTAAATATTTGAGAATTTTTATTACGGATTTTTGCACCTTTTTTCATATAAGTATGATTTTCTCATGAAATGAAATGCGGGAGACCGTCAGCAACGAAATTTCAAAATATCAACGCAAGTTTTGGTAAATTGCGCTTGTTATATTAAAAAACCCGAAAAAAAATCCTCCAAAAAAATTTTTCAAAAATCAGCGCGATTTTTTAGCCGTTTCAAACTTTTTCATTTCAACGTCTGGAACAGCTAGGTTGCCGACAGCCGAATCTCCACCGCTACGCTAAGATTCTCCTTAATCAATGTACCCCGCGCACTTTTATGGAATCCACGATTTCCCACGACGATTTGCAAAGGAATTGCTTTTACTCCGTGGAGTGATCGCCCTCTGCGCAAGATCACCCAATCCTGACGCAGCTGTAGTTTTGTAGGTTCGTATGATCGCAACAAAGTCGTCAGGGAGGCGTTTATTCCGAATTTTGAGAAGTGGTTTCATGTTTTACCTACAGATTTTAGGTCAATCAGTCAATCTTTGTTTCTGCTGAAGACGCAAGGAAGATTGATTAGCCTGCTCATAACAAAAGGGATTCCTCTATCGTCTATCTAAAGCTTAATATGATTGCAGTAAAGGAATGCCTGTGGAGAACATGAAATTGTGGCATTTTATCGACTAAGTAATGGTCTCCGTTCAAAGAACAATCTCCCAATTAGCGAAGTACACCCTTGTTTTGTTATATCCACCGCAACCTAACTTAGACTAGATTTTCGCTTCCTATCTAAGATCAGTCTCAAGTACTTGACTCTGTCGGAAGGCTGCAGGCGAACACCTCCAAACCGAGAGAACATTTGTATTTTTAAAGGACGTACATTTGTGGGAGAACTATTAGCGCTACTTGCGAAACGAGAGGAAGGGATCTTTGGTCCCACTGTGAAAAACTTTAGCCTCGCTGACGAAACATCCGAAACTTGGTGTTTCTAAGCTCCCACGTAAACATATTCAGCGTCTGACTAAGATGATGCACTAGGAGCAAATTCGCACCTGACAAACAACAAAGCCGCTAGCGCTGACGGCCTGCTAATCGACAGCGAGGAGTTCACAAAAAAATCTTAAGTATTTCAAATTAATGCGAAGCTATCTCAAAATTCTTCAATTGCGGAATTGTTTGAAGATAGTTTACCTTTTTTATATACTTCTGCAATGCAAAGGTAACTAACAACCAAAGAGTTTAAAATTATTCACAGTTCAATGAACGAATGAAAGTGAGCTATTACTTTCAATTGAATAAACGCCAGCAATTTAAAGTACCTTCGACAATTATACAATAGCATTTTTTTTTTTCAATTATCTAATAAAACGTTCCTTGTCCACACACTCTCACCCTGAAATTCTACCACCATACTTCGCGCATTATAAAAGAAATTCCACACAAAACAAATTCCATAAATATTTAATTGCAATGAATCATTGCAAAATCACTTAATTGGATTACCTCAACGACGCCAAATCAACAAAGCTTACCTGCCATGGGTACCATATCAATTACTGCTTGTCCTCGCGACACAACTTCCCCCTCCGCATGGCGTTGGTTTGCCAGTAAATTGTTTTTTCCATTCACAGCATTAGCTGGCTGCTCTGTCAACGGTATGTTTGCTGCGGCTACGGCTGCTGTGGCGGTGGCGGTGGCGGTGGCTGGCGACATGGTAAGTAAGAGCACAGCGAATGCAAACAAATGCCGCAAGGATAATGGAGACGGATTGGTGGTGGTGGCCTTGATGATGAACATATTTTGGTTGTAGTAAGCTGCAAAAATTATGTGGAAATTTTTTAAGCTGATCATTTGGAAATAAGCTGATTTGAATGACTAAGCATCTAATATAATACATAGGAGTATAATAAAATTAAAAGCTCATACATTTTCGGAGGAATGAAAGAAGCAAATGATTATGATGTGGTAACAGTGGTTAGCTTAATAATTTTTTTTAAAGCAGTACTTGCAAGCTATCAGTTGAAAATATCACCGTTCGAGAAAATTAAAGGTTTTTTTTAATTTTGAAAAAATTTTCGGTTTCGGAAATTAGCTGCAAGAAAAGTGGCAAAATGGCGGATGGGTTAAAAAAATTAGATTTTTATGAAATTTTACACCCGAAGGTTCTTTGAGTTTTGTAATCAGCGGCTCAAAAAATCTGCGAATATCAAATTTCATAAAAATCTGAAAACTTTTGAAAAATCCATCCGTAATATTGGAACGGCCACTTCGAATATTTAAAAACTGATCTCGGTTTTGTAGTCAGCGACGCAACTAAACTTTGGATATTAAATCCTCTAAAAATCTGATTTGAAAAATGCATCCACCATGTCGGAACCGCCATTTCGAATTTTCAAAAACTGATTTTAGTTTTGTAATCAGCGACGCAAAGAAACTTTTGATATTAAATTTCATAAATATCTGAAAATTAAAAAAAAAAATCCATTTGCCCTATTGTTTTGTAATCAGCGACTCAAAGAATTTTTGGCTATCAAATTTCATAAAAATCTGAAAGTTTTTGAAAATCCCATCCGCCATTTTGAATTTTTAAAACTGATTTAACTTTTGTAATCACCACCACCTCAAAGAATCTTTGGATGCCAAATTTCATACAAATTTTAAAATTTTTGAAAAATCCATCCGCCATTTTGAATTTTTGAAAACTGATTTCAATTTTTTACTCAGCGACTAACAGAACCTTTGGGTATTAGATTTCATAAAAATCTAAAAAAAATTTTAAAATCCATCTGCCACATTGGATCCGCCATTTTGAATTTTTGAAAACTTATTCCAGTTTTGTACTTAGCGACTCAAAGAAGCTTTGGATATAAAATTTAATAACAATTTTCGAAAAAACCATTTTTCATATTGGATCTGCCATTTTGAATTTTTGAAAACTGATTTTAGTTTTGTAACCAGCGACTCAGATAACCTCTGGATATCAAATTTCATAAAAATCTGACAATTTTTATTTTTTTTTGAATCAAACTGACTGCAAGGCAATCATTTATTGACCGATCCAGCATGCGGGTTTTTAAGAGTTGTTTCTCCCCATAGAAACCGTTAATGCCTTGATCGAGAAAAACGACAAAATACGGTCACTAAACTACTCGACAAAGGGTTACTATGATAGGATTTAGGGGTGCTACTCTGGTCGGCTGGTGGAGTCCGCCCTACTTTACCACGGATCCGTCGAAGTCTCCTTGCATAGTAAAGTGGACGATCATGATGTTCAAGTGTCCCACAGGCTTCAGAGGGGAAGGTAACTCCCCTACCATCAATTTGACAACGACGCTCTACTCCGCTCCAGTCATTAGACGGTTACCGGGTCGGTCTCAGTCACCACCAGCCACACTACGCCTAACAACACTCCCTCACAGGTCACAGGAAATTTTGTCGTCTTTCCCTTCATCACTCCAAGACCAAGAGCGCGGTACGCCGGTTTTTTGTGAGGAAGTCATCAGAGGCCATAGATTTTTCCTATGCGTGGAAGAATTCTACAAAGAATTCCTGCGCAGTTCTATCAGTATTGGCCTAGCTGCTGCACGATAACGATTTCACTGAATAGCGTGCGATTAAAGCAAAGAAAAAACGCTTAGGAAACAGATATAGCATCGTTTAGTGCCGGCTAAGTACTCTGAAAGCATATCGACTTTTCCCACACTTGGAAAGATGGGATCAATTGAAGAACTGGCCAGCACGGTAAAAATAACTTTGGTTGAGTTATAAAGAAGTCTGAATATTTAAGCGAGGCAGTCGATTGGCGGCCACTGTGGCTGAGTAACTAGAGGGGCGTACTAACACTCCGAGGACCAGGGTTCAATCCCTGAGTTTGAAATATTGACTTTGGCCAGCTTTTCGAATTAAATACCATTCTGTGCGCCGGCCTATTTCCTAAATATTTGTTCAAAACCTTTTTGACGGACGGCTTCAAGCTCGAAAAAGGAACTTTCCGTAGAAACCATTACTAATAATACTTCAGATTTGTTCAAGATTTACTCTCAGTGTTGCCCACTTTTATAACCCAAAACACTCAACAAATATAGAGGTATGTACTACATATACAAATTCTTTTAGCGATGAAAAACGCGCCATGCACTAGCACTTTCAGGAGCTGCAAGTAATGCATTATCCTTGGCTCGACGATTCCACATTTCAACTAGCACTTGTGACAGCTTTGGAAATAAAGCTAATACAAAAAGGTATTGTTATGCTGTCGACAATCAATAGCTGACAACCAACTACAACTTTCTTAGCGTAAGTATTGCCAATAACAACAGAGTAAATGTCGGAAGTTAAACGTAAACTTAGTCAATCTCCTGTATTGAATGTTCGTTCAGCTAAAAGAAAAGCAAACATTTTTCGCTAGCAAACAGCAGCGTTGGGATGTCAAGGCAATTGACTTGCGCTTATTATGGCAATTTGAAAAGACAGCTTGTTACAATTCAGTGTGCTACTCGCATATTGTGTTTACCTAATGCAACCTTGCTGACAATTTAAGTTATTAGTTAAGGAACTTAACTTTAGAATTAACTTTTCAACCCCAATCATAATTCGTACTTTTAAACTAAAGCATCCTTAAAACTCTTTCTTTAGACACAAATGCTAGTATACTTCACATAATTTGTGTACAATTTATTGAAATTCGTCTTTTCAAGTTTGACTTTTCGTACAGGTGGCAACCGTGCTCAAAAGTACTTTAAAATTAAAATATTCTAGAACCTCGCCTGACAGCCAAACTGCGATATGTCTTTCAATTACCGAATTCCCTTTATTCAATTTTGTTTTTTTTTTTTTAATAGGTGGCAACCCTTCCACCTACAATTTAGGAATAAAGCCTTTTCAAACTCATTTCGATTGCTACCCATATTGTGATAATTCATTTAGGTTGTCAAACAATTTCAGTTTAGATTTTCAAACGGGTGGCAACCATTTTCAAACTAAAAATATTTTGAATATTTAAACTAAAGATTTTCTACATCGACATGTTAGTATTTCATATAAATGGTGTGCAATTTTGTTTAATTCGACTTTTTGAACAGGTGGCAACCCTCTTAAGAATATGTTCAAACTGATACCATCTAAAACCTCTTTCATTTGGCAACCACATTATGTTACATATTTCATCCACCTAATTGTCATAGTTTCAGTTGAATTTGACTTTTTGAGCAGTTGGCAACCCTCCTACACCCAGTTAAGATACAAAGCCTTTTCAAACCCATCTCGAATGATACCAATATTGTAATAATCATTTAACTCATCCAATAATTTGAATTTAATTTTTCAATAGGTGGCAACCATTTGCAAAAAATAAAACTTTATTGCACAATGAGAGACGGAACGGTGTAGAATTGATGACATTCACAAAAAATTTCTTCGCGTATTGTACATATATTTATATACCTAGATAAGAGGACACCCAAATCAGTTTTACAAAAGGAAAGTTCTTGAGGTAATTGAATACACCGCATCGGTAATGAACATTTTATTTGTATGAAAATACTCAAATAAATTTAGCCTATTACTTACTTAGGCCTCATCAATCATTGATACTTAAGTCCAAGAATAGATGCTGCAGCGACTAGCCAGTGTGGCCATCGCATAAGTGATGCCAGCTACAGCTCCCGAACTCCTCTTTTCGAAGCGAGTATTTTTTAGGAGAAAACGCGGTAGGTATGCAGATGATCCTTAAAACGATTATTCAGGCGAAAAAGTTCCAAAATTACTCTTTTTTTCATTGTAACTCGAAAAAATTAAAGTTTTTTTTTAATAACTTTGGGAAGTTTTCAGATAGAATGTTCGTATTAGAGGCAATGAAAGTTGGCACCAAATACAAAATTTCTGTGAAGTTTCAAAAGTGTGCCACCAAATAAAAAAAAAATGGCAGCATGCAGAATATCCGACGCAGCTTTCTTGTAATTTTTGAAATTGAACGATTTTTTTTTATTTTAAATGTTTAATATATCTCAAAATTTTAACACTAAACGGCAAAAATTTTCTTTTTATCAAAACGAACAAATCTAAAGTAATAAAACTAGTGTGATACCAAACGAAAAAGAATTACATTGATTATAAGATGACGATAATTTGGGAAACAAAAATTCTAATTTAACAATTTTTATTGGCACACCCGAAATTCATTCGAAAATTGTTATATACATGAAGAAATTAATATATATTTTCGTGAAGAATGTTGTAGGAAAATATTCCACGGCAATATTTAATTACTTTTAAGTAACAAGACTTTTAAGTTAAGGCGTGCGAGTTAACGTGTATGGTGCTACGGGGCGTATACGTTACATACGCAACTACGGGTATACATATGAGCAGGGAACGGATTTTATGGAAATTGCCTTTTTTTCTGCTAAAGAGATATACTATATTCGATTAAGAATGTCCACGATTTAGATTTCCCTGATTCCATATAAACACATTTGATGTTGCCTTTTTTAAGATATTTGCCTTTTTTTTGCCTTTTTTAAGATATTTGCCTTTTTTTGCCTTTTCTACCTTTAAAAAAGTGATTATAGCATTTACAATTTTTTTTTAAGATTTAAAAATATACACATTGCCCATGCGGCTTATAGAAGCGCAGAGACCTCTTGCCAAATTGGTGTTGGAAAAAATCAAAGCCGTTTTCTCAGCTAACGAAGGCTTGGAGACAATAAGGGGTGTGGATAAAATTGTAAAAGGCGAGGAAAACGATCTTATTCCTGATAATATGAACGTTTCAAACATTCCATATTTAAATTGGGCGCCGCTTGTATCAACTTACGTCGAGCACACATTTAGTACATTCAAGGCTTTTCTTCGCGAAAATCGAATGAAAATGCTGCCAGAAAACTTCAAAATGCATCTTGTGGTTCAATGTTACTACAACTATACAGATTAAAGCTTTATGAGTTAGAAACTAGAAAGGATAAAATAGTCAAAGATTCTAAGTACAAATTTTCTAGTTCATAGTTTTTCTCTTTTTACTTGTAATATAAACATTTCTAAAATAAATGTATTTTTTGATTGTTCTTCGTATTTTCTGTCTTTTTTTAGTCCTTATTTTGCTTTTTTTGCAATACCTAGTGCCTTTTCCTGCCTTTTTCGCTATTTTGTTTTGCCTTTTTTGCAACACCTAGTGCCTTTTCCTGCCTTTTTCACTATTTTATTTTGCCTTTTTCAGCCTATTTCGTTATTTTATTTTGCCTTTTTTATAGGTTTTTAGGTCCTAAAAATCCGTTCCCTGCATATGAGCATGAGTTGTTATTTTTTTTCTTTTCTTAGTATATGTATCTTTTCGTAGATTTTCTCTTATGCGTGTGTATAGCGATATGTGCATCTTTATGTGCTCCTTTTGATTTATTCTTTCTATACCAACTTGTCTCCCAGTTATTCTTAGAAATTCTATAAATGTCTTTACAACGGAATTGCTTTGCACCTAGTAATTGAATGAATAAAGAAGTAATTCACATGCATTGCAAAGGAAGTGTCATGAATGTCAAGTTACATTGCACAACACAGTCAAAACATAAGAATGTAAATACCTTCATTTATTTATCGAAATACATATGTACATAAATATTTTAATCCAACTAGCAAATAGAGCAGTTGGCGCTGCAGCTGCTGCTGATGACAGCTAACAATAAAAGTTGAAAAGAGCAGCATTCTCAATATATTTGGTTATTAGTTGTACTAAGTGGCAATGTCGTTGTCAACAATATATTTTGAAGTACTGTTTTTATTTGCGGTAAGAATATGGATTTATTTATTTGTTAAAGACTTAAATTATTCATTTTCTTATTCAAGTTTTTTCCTAATATTAAATTTACTTCTGCGTATGAGTAACATTTTCATCTCGTCTGAGTAACGCATACGCCATGTACATACCTACGTAGTACGTACGATTTTAGCTCTTTTATGAAGTAAAACTTTTTTAGCGGCGGTTGGTTGGTTGGGAATAAATTGGCAAATTCAACGGAAATTGTGCAACGGAAACAAGTGCTTCTTGAATGTATGCTATACATTTAACAAAAACTTGCTAATAAAAGGTTAAAGAATAACACTTAGAAAAGACTAATACAAGAATGAAAGTAAAGGTGAGTACGTACATATGTAGATAACGAAAAGGATAAATACAAAGGTAAAAACAAAAACAAATATGCGTAAAGATAAAGGCAAAAATGAAGATCAAGCTAAATTTAAACACTTTCCTCATATAAGGGCAAAGGTGAAGGGGAATATGTAGATGAAGAAAATGATAAACATAAAAGTAAAAACAAAGATAAATATAAAGAAGAAGATCAGGATGAGAATACCGATAAAAGTAAAGATGAAGATAGAGGAAGAATGATTAAAATAAAGGTAATTATAGAGAAAAGGATTTAGCTATAGACACATAGACTCACTCTGGGAACTATTCGCGGGATTCTCGGGACATATCGATATAATAATCGATATTTTTTCGGTTTTCTTATCGATTTTGTTATCCCAATTTTAATCAATATTGTTATCAATTTTGCTATCGATATTTTCGGAACTAATCGACATAATAATCGATATTTTTGTCGATTATATGATCGATTTTGTAACCGAAATTTTTAGCGATTTTCTTATCGATAATTTTTATCGATATTGTTATTGGTTTTGCTAACGATGTTTTTATCGATTAAGTTATCAATATTTTTATAAATTTGTTATCGACATTTTTATAAATTTGTTATCGATATTGTTGTCGATTATGTTATCGCTTATTTATCGATTTTTCTATAGATATAGTTATCGATTTTGTTATATATATTATTATCGAATTTGTTATCGATATTATCGATATTTTTGGCTATGTTGCTACCTATTTTTACCGATTTGTTATCGAAATTTTTATCGAATTTGTCATCGGTTTTGCTATCGATATTTTATCAGTTTTGCTATCGATTATTTATCAATTTTGTTATCGATTATTTATCGATTTTTTAACTGATATTCTATTCGATTTTTTTATTGATATTTTATCGATTTGGTTATCGATATCTTTATCGATAATTTTTTCGATTTTCTAATAAATTTTTGTTATCGATTTTGTTATCGATTATTTATCGATTTTGCTACTGATTTTGCTATCGATATGTTTATAGATTTTCTAATCGGTTTTTCTATCAATATTATCTATCGAAATTTGCTATCGAATTTATCATCGATTTTTTTATCGATATTTTTATCGGTTTAGTTATGGATATTTTTTTGGATGTTACTGTCGATTTTGTTATCGATAGAGTATAAAGATAAAAGTGAATATAAAGGAAAACAGAATAATATAAATGTAATTAGAACGAACTGGGGTAGAGAGAGGTAGGGATCTAGATAGAAAAAATACAAGAAATATAACCTTAAGCAAAAGCAGATGTACATATGTATGTATGTATGTACATATGTATATTGGTTATGAGATAAAATAGATATGTAACGTAAGTTTCACTTCTCTAGGCCAGGCGCACTTACTGTTTTTTTTTATTTTCATCATCTGATTTCGCATTATTAGACCTCAATAATCCCCACTTGTAAAGTTTTAAGCGAATCTAATCGACCTTAATCTTTTGGCCGCCATTTTGAATTTGTCAAACGCGACTTCAGACTCGTAATCAGTGACCGCAAAACCCCACGATGAAAACATTTCAAGAGAATCGGATCGACTTTATTTTTTTTGGCCGTCATATTGGATCCGCCATTTTTAGGTTTTAAAATCAGGCCTCTGATTTGTAATCAGAAACCCTAAAAACATAGAAAGCCGCTGTTAATTTATCTTTTTTAGTGTTAAGTTCTAATCTGATTTACAGTTAGTTTATACGCTATATTTAAAACGCCATCTTCAATTTTGGAAAACGCCCAACGGCAATAAAAATATACGCTTTAAACAAATTTTTCAATACAGGTTTCGAATTGTTTAAATTACACAAAAATGTAGAGATTGCGCGCTTGGCAAATAATGGCCCAGTTGCGTTTCAATTTCTTACATATATAATAGTCTAAGAGCCAGTGACATTATTTTGTTAATATTTAGTTAGGGGCCAATTTTTTGCCAGCGCGTTATGGGAGCTATGTGGAGTGTTTGTTTTGAACATTAAGAATATTATTGAGGTATTTTACAAAAGTTTTCACCTGTTCAAAAATTAAATGAATTAATTGAAATATGGGTATCAATCCAAATGGTTTTGAAAAGGTTTTTTTTTTCTAAAATGGGCGTATGAAGGTAGCCGCTGAAAAAGCAAATTTTACTTAAATTACGTGTGCAGAAAGAGGTTTATAAGGTTGCATTTTGAAAATAATTTGAAGAGGTTTGCCACCCGTTTGTGAAGTTGAATTTAGTGAAATTATATACAAGTAAAAGTGTCCAAGATATTCAAAGAGGCTTGCCAACTGTTTTAAAACTAAATTAAAATTAAATTATTTAATAAGTGAATAGTTACAATAGGGGTATAAATCGAAATGGTCTTCAAAAGCCTTCACTTCTAAGCTGAAAAATTAAACTCAACTCCTGCGAATTATTTTTATCCTTGCCATAAAGTAAATTTTCCTGGCATTTCTTCGAAAACAATAAAAATTAGTTTACTTCATAGTTTACTGAACCTATGATTTTGTAGAAGTACACATCAACCCGTCCCATCCACCCATTATATAACTAATAAATTAGCCTCTAGCACTTACGAAATGTCAAACAGCGTTTAATCGTAGTTTTAACGAAGAACTCACACGCTCAATACGCTTCGGCTGAAGTTGACTAACTAAAAGGCCATTTTGCTGGCAGATCGCACAAACAATGCCAACGATTTATGCGGTGTAGCGCAATGGCAATCAATGTCGCACAATCGACACAATCATTGCGATGATAACAATGAAGCAGTGTTGTGGATACGCATTCTTACATATATACAAATACGTGCTCATATCGAATGGTGTTGCTTCTTCAGTGCACTCAGAACAACAAAAATATTCCAACTACATATACTCGTCTGCCAACATGATGCGTACAGTACGATAAGATCAAAACAAAATAAAACAGAAAATAAGCAGTTAATGTGCAGAAAATGGCAATTAGTTGAAGAGTGTACTTTGGCAAGCTACACATACACACACGACACGTGCCTTTACACATGCACACATACATATGTACATATGTTTGTAATATTTGTAGTTAAAGACTGGTATGCTTACCTGTTAATTGGCACAAAATGATTGCCGTTCAGTAGCTGAAGTTTGACAACTTTGTGCACAAAAATCGATAATACACAATCAACGCTTTACATACACCCATGTAATTTAAATGTGGCGCAGACAGCTTTGATAAGTTTATAGCGCGTGTTTCCTCAATTCCCTTTAAATTAAATGTTTGAGAGTTTTACTTTGCTTCCTGATTTTTAATCATTTCGATTAGAAGCGAAATTTTTTTTTGTGCGATGGTAAAGTTCGTTGACGTGCCTTATTTTTTCAATTATCTAAGAGGCACTAAGGCTCTTGAGTTTACATACATATGCGCATGCAATTTTTAAATAATTTTTTTTTGTCAGATCATTCTGTTTGATATGGCTTTAAGTGGTACATGGTAAAAAATGCGAAAACTAGAAAGGATCTATATATGTACATTAGGGCGGAGTTCTTTAATTTCGAAAAAAGTATGTGGCATATTGGAATTCTGCGTTGGATTCTAAGCAAAGTGGTGAACAGAAATGACTTTTATCCTCCCCATTTTTAAAAGAAAAATCAGTAAATTTTGATTTTTCTGAAATAAATTAATTTGTTGTTTACACAACTTTGTGTTTTCTTCATATAATATATATACGGCTTTTTCTTTTGAAAATTGCTCATTTTTGGCATACAGTTTGTTCGGCATTTTTGCTTAGAATTAGTCGTAGAGTTTGAAATTTCTGTACACTTACTTCGAAAATTTCTGCTCCGAACAAATTACTTCGCCCTAATGCAGAGTTTGTTCGGCATTTTTGCTTAGAATTAGTCGTAGAGTTTGAAATTTCTGTACACTTACTTCGAAAATTTCTGCTCCGAACAAATTACTTCGCCCTAATGCAGAGTTTTTCCGGCATTTTTGTTTAAAATTAATCATAGAATTTAGAATTTTCTGTACACCTTCTTCGAAAATTTTGCTCCGAACAAATTACTCCGCCCTAATGTACATATATATCTACAATGTCGTCAGTGCTGCACTGTTCATTCTAATTTCAAATAAAGGGCTTGTCCTTTAAATGTGTAATAATATTTAATTTCTGAAGTTAAAACTTTGAGATTTAGATGAAATTTGGTTCACGGATCGTTTACAGCTTTGACTAACATTTGAATACTTTTAATGTATTTTTTTAATTTTATCAAAAGCTTTTCAAAGGCAGAAATCGACGGCTGAGTGGAAGAGCAACCTATGTCGGCAGCCAGTTCGAAAACGCCCTACCTCAGCAAATCATTCTAGAACGCCCTGTTTCAGAATTTGATTGAAGAATGCCCCAACTTAGCAAATGATTGAGAATACCTTATCTCAGAGTAAATCCAATATATCGGCAGCTGAGATGGGCATTTTTGAACGATTTGCTGAGATAGGGCGTTCTTCGGCCAAATTCTGATATAGGCCATTTTTTAAACAAATTCGGAAGTAGGGCTTTTTCAAACTGGCTTCCGAGTTAGGTCGATCTTCCATTTGGACGTCTAAAAATGCTCAATGGTTACAATCGGCCTTATAAAGAAAAACTAATCAATTGCTTTTCCTTAAAAATTTCAGACCTTTATTAAACCAGTCAAAAGTAGAACCCAAAAAGCGATAAAAAGTTCTCAAAAGAGGCTTCCGACCCATTCTGACACATTCCGTCCTCCACTTGACTTGAATCAAATGCAGAGGAGAGTACCAGTGGAAAAAGAAAGTCCCATTTGGCAGTGATAATATCGCAAAGTTGACTACACGTACGCACAAATGCAATATGCATCAAGGACCCCTGAGTTTTTTATAGCGACTATTAAATACCTGCTGGAATGTGACGAAAATTTTCTTTTGTAACACCAGATACTGCAGCGTAAATCGATAATTAATCAAAGCAGTTTACTTTTCTACTTCAGAGTTGATGTATCGGGACTTTTTGGCCATTTAGACAATGTGCCCCTTTTAGCTAAGTAAGTGCGATTTGCTGTACTTTTCTTCTCGAGAAACGAGAATACTCCAAAGAAGTACTTGAAGAGTAATGTAGGCAGATAAAGCTGACACTGGTATAGACGCGCGTAGTTAGAATTTTTTATTTTGTGCTATAAGGATTAACTGCTGTCTGCCTCGAATTAAACATACACATGTATGTATATGGGGCGTTCCATACCAAAACGGACGAGGTTTACACTTCATGTGTTTGATTTGTTTCAAATTTTTAGGGTAGATGCATA